AATCTCAATTAACTCTCATTTCTTTTTACTGTCTCAATTGGGTCCTTATTTTTGTAAAATTGTAGCAATTAAAGACCTACCATCAAATTGGACAAACGGCCGTTTAATTGTTCGTTAGGTGGCATGGGCAGTGTTTTCAGTAATCACAGGTGGAATTAAAAAAGAGTTTTGTATTAAAAAGTATGAGGTTAAATCAGCTTTAGGGAAAGGGCACAGTGGGAAAACTCATTATGATTCCCACTTCAATCATTCATTGTTGTTCCCCTTCTCCTTCTCATACACCAGAACAGAACACCAAAACAGAACACCAGAACATAAATGATACAGAATCTGAGCCTCAAACCACTCCTTCAGCTCCACCAACCGCTCCAAGACGCCGTCGAAAACCTCTGCCGCAAAGCCGCAATCGGGGTCGAAACGAGAATCGTCAGAGTTGGAGGAGGAGACGAATTTACAGAGGACCAGGGTGACGCCCTTGGCAGAGAGAGTCTGGAGGAAGGTTCTGGAAGTTTCCCAGGAGGAGAGGGAGTCCTTGACGCTGGTGAGTCGGAAGCCGAGGGGAATGGTTAAGGTGGTTATGTCTTTGCTGAGACATTTGGCGATGTAGTCTTCGGAGTGACCGAGGTGCCAGGTTCGGGAGCCGATTTTGACGTCCATGACGGAGGGTTTAGTGTAGGGGGCGATGAGGTCCTGGAGGAGAAGGTGGGTGTGGGGTCCAGAGATATTATCAACCATTCAAAACCATTTTCCAATTTCCAATTTTCCACTACTTCTCAAATCCCAATCAAGAAAAACACTAAATCACACAAAAATGGAGATATTATCACAAATGTGGTCTATGTTAGGGTTACTCACCGTGCTCCAAAACGTTCTCTCATCCCAACTTCTCTCATTGCTCCATTCCTTATACAATCTCTGCAATATCTGCTTTCTCCATATTCCTATTTCGAGATTCCAGAGTTCGACGGCTACTGAGGCGTCGACCTCAACGACCTCTACCGTCACGTGCACCTCTACCTCAATTCCGCAAACCACGCCCTCGGCGTCGCGTGCCGCCAACTAACGCTCTCTCGCTCGCCTTCCTCGAACCGCATCTCCTTCGCCGTCACCCCGAACCACACCGTCCACGACGCCTTCCGCAGCCAATGCGTCACATGGACGCACCACGTTGAGACCGCACAAGACTCACTTGAGGAGAAGCGCAACTTCACACTCCGCCTCTCAAAGCGCCACCGCCACTCTGGTTGTGTGTGAGAAGGAGAGGGGAAGACCAATTACTGAAGTGGGAATCGTAACGAGTTTTCCCACTATGCCCTTTTCCTAAAGCTGATTTAACCTCATATTTTTTAATACAAAACTCTTTTTTAATTTCACGTGTGATTAGTGAAAACACTGCCCATGCCACGTAACGTACAATTAAACGGTCGTTTATTCAATTTGACGGCAGGCCTTTAATTGCTACAATTTTACAAAAATGAGGACCCAATTGAGATGACAAAAAGAAAGGGGACTTAATGGAGATTATGGGCCAAAATAAGGACCTATAGAGACATTAAACCTACTTGTTATATGTTTAAACATGTAACATGTTTGCTAATTAAAAAGGACATATATTTGCTTCTCATTCTTGAAGCTAATAATGCAAAACAAGTTTAACATAATGATATGTAGATGTTAACAAACAAATTTGTGAGTTTCAAATATTTTTTGTTTTTGCCTAATTCTAAACAAGTAATTTTAAGAAAATGTGTTCTCTAAAAGATGCTAAAAATAGTTTCTTCCTCATAATAAATTAAATAAAAAGCATGTCTAATATCCAACACAACTAGATTCCATGCTTGACAAAACAAGTCATACTTTCATTGAGCTAAATAATAATAATGAGATAAAAAAACAGACATGCATAATTCCACAGTTCAAATGATCAATTTTGCAATATACCATAAGACAATCATATATTATTCTTACATTAAGAATAGATGGCTCTGGCAACAGGCTCTGAATTGGCCTATCACTGTCAAGAGGTTCAATTGGATGTTCAACAGGCTTAAACTCCACAGCCACTTCAGTTCCATGAGAAGTGGCAGTTGCACACTCGCCACTACAACAACAACCTCTGAGTTTGGGGGCATCAATTCCATGAGAACCGAACAACAAGGCACAACTTTACTGCTGCATCGGGATCCCACTCATGATAGTTAAGTTCTAAATCGCAACAAAAGCTATGTTAAGTCCAATTATATGTAACACCTCATACCATGTGTGAGGTGTGGATTTCAAGTATCATGTGAGAAAGGAATTCCAAGGAGGAATATCCTAAGTTGGTTATGTGGTGTTATGTATTGATGTAGGGGCTCTTGGATTGGGAAATGATCTTGACACTCTCAATAACCCCATTTCATATAAAGATGGGTGATTATGTCATGGAGAGTAGCAGAAGGTCCTAGTCTATGGTCACTGGTTAAGGTCATATATGTTTGACGGATGAACTTTGGTGTATTGTAGTTCTTGTTCTATCATTATGCATGTAATGCTCTAAGTTCACTGCTTGGAAAATATTACAATGATAACTTTGGTGAAGATAGCAAGGGTAAGAACTAGCAAGTGGGTTTAGATGAATGTATTGCTTTTACCTTAGTTTAGTGCTTGTCATGTTATAATTTCATTTGAATTTTGTCAACATTTTTAACTCAATCTATTTTGATATACACAATTTTTATATTTATTTAATTTTTTTAAATATAAAAGTTTAATTTTTATGATTATTTTATTTTTATAATGTTTGTTAAATAAATGTAAATGTTTATTATTTTTTTAATTTACAGAAAAATCACATGTGAACAATTATTTTATTTTTATAATATGTATCAAATAATTTTTTTTATAATTATTTTATCCATGTAAATAAATGTAGGCAAACTTAGCTAAAGTTCATAAAAAGAGAATATCAGAATTTGTATTTCTAGAAAGATGGAACAACAACAACAAGGTGGTCAAGAATGTACTAAAATTTAGAAAATAAAGGTGCAATCAATAAACATTTTAGTTTTATACTATTGTTTACTTAAATTTTGGCACCACAAACCTGTTTTTGTCAAACGTGTAATTAATGTTGGAAAAGAGGAGTGTGAGAAAACCTAGGAAATTTTGATGAAAGTGAAGGGGACAAATTTAACTGACCTTTTGAAGATATCAAACAAATAAAATGCCAACAGAAATATATAAAATGATACATACCTGTATTTGACACTTTGATAACAATGGAACAAACAGAAAAGGGAATAAATTTAAAATCCACCCCATCAATTTCTATCTACACCTCAAATATTTTGGAATTTTATTTTACCCTTGGTTGTTTTATGCTGGTTCCTATGTGTTTGGTGGAAGTGTTCGTAAGATGGTAGTGATTTGAAAAATGGAAAGAAGCCGTGAGAAGTATATTGAAGTATGAAAGGTATTTTTGGTGGTGCTTAATGAGTGAAATGGTGAAGGTAAAAATTCTCGAAATTAAAATCTGGAAATAGTTTTCTCGAAACTTGTTAGGTGGGAAATAGTTTTCCGAATTCCTATTTTTGAAAGAGTAAAAAGTATCATTCTAAAGCAGAAATTTCACATAATTAATAGGTTGTACGTTCAAATTTGAGAGAAGCAATTGACCAATCTCAATCTCTACTCACTCGTAAAGAAAAGAACAAAAAGTTCAAAAAATCAAATATATGGACCTTTTCTTCTAGTACTCTCATACTCACCGTCTGCACCCTTACAATTTTTAAAATAAGTGTCTGTTTCATAAATCTCCCCGGAACAAGTTTTTTAAAATCTTTGGATCAAAATTTTCGTAATACAATTTCTCAAATAATATTTCTAGAATTTTTTTTTTAAATATATTTGATGTAATCCAGAATGAGCTTCCTAAAACAAGATTTCTAGAATATGATTTTCAAAATATATGGAGATACAAGAAGCTTTCTAAAACAAACTTTTCAAAATACACTAGTCTTAGATCCGTGCAATGCACAGTCGTTTCGTTTGTTTTTTAAATTTTAGATTAAAAAATTAATATAATAATAATTATATTTCAATAAAAAAATAATTTACATAATTATATTCAAGTAATTATATATATATATAGAATATTTAAATAATGAATATGATAATATAAAAAAATTAATTATCATTATTTTTGTAATATTATTATTTTAGTATTGATTTATTTATATTAAAGTAATATATTATAAAAAATACCATTAATAATACCAAAACTAATAATAATAATATATACTAATAATAATAATAATAATGTATACTAATAATAATAATAATAATAATATCAGTAATAACAATATTGTTATTATTATTATTATTACAACAATGGTAAAGACACAATGTCACTTTAGCCTAAGTTAAGTGTTTTTTGCATGTATTAAAATATTACAAGGCTTTACATGTTTCGAAAAGAACATTGACAGTTCCAAACACAATTGCACAAAAATACATACATAGAATCCATGGCTTGCTATCTAGGCTTTTAATGGATCAAGCATAGTGCATGGTTGATGTCGGAATGGAATATAAGGGCTTCAAACCATAGGCCGGCTTAGTAATTTTGTGTCTCAACAAGGAGATTTTTCTTTGTTTTTTTCATCAAAATTAGCTTAGATTTTGCCAAAACATAGTTTTAGCTGTGAATTCGTGGCATAAAAGAGGGAAATTTACTTCAAATACCCGATATTAACATTAAATGCTACTTCTCAATTTGTATCTACATGTTGTCTCCACCATGTCCCTTATAAGCATCGATGGATTCATCTTCAATCAAACATCTGCTTAGTTCTTCTTCTATCCGTAACTTTTAACGGAGTTGTTGTGTTCGACATAATTTCCCACTGCCATTGGTAGCCAGTTATGTCAAGTTTGTGGCTTCTTTTGTGTTTGTATTCACTTGAACACCTTTTCACCACCTAAAGTTCAGTTCTAAAGAGATTGACCAAACATAATTCATGGCCACCACAGCAAAGAATGTTGTGGTGATACAGGATGCATCTAAAGGACTTAATTTAAGAGTTTTTTATTGGATTATAAAGGCCTTATCACTTGAGCCTGAAGATATGGTGACTGTAGTTGCAATCCTGCATGAGGTTTATACTCCCAGTACGTATTCTTTTACTCGTTTTCAGAAGTTCTAGTTATTCATGCCCTTTAAAAAGAATAGTTAAACTGTAATATGAAGAAACTGCCAAAAAAAATAAATTCCAAGGATTTAATGTAGTGTTTGAGTAGCTCAGGATGAAGAACGTTGTAACCCTTTTGAGCAAATTTTACTTATCAATCACTTCTTTTGTTTCCCTTTCCTCCAATTCCTTTTGTAGTGGGATACAGAATCACAGTGGATAACCGGTTGGTCGGAGTAAACCAGAGAATCATCGACAAAGCACTTGCAAATAAGAAAGAAGAGTACCTGAACAACGAGGAACTTGCTCAGATTGCCAAACAATACGAATCAAATAAGGTAATATTAGTACTGTTTAATAAACCTCTTCTCTATTTTTGGTTTTCTATTGAACTTCACCTGGATATATAATGATGAAAAATAACCTTCATGGTTTGTTGCAAGTTGACAAGTACCAATAGGAAATATCAAAGTTGTGCCTTAGTCTGATGATGTTTTTTGTGTTGTAGGTGGGAATCACACTAGCAAATTTAATGCAAAATAGCTTTTTAGTTTTAACTTAGCATTAAGAAATAATTTCATTATATTCAAGTGATAATAGCAAGAGTCTAAAATTGTTGGAAACCCAAGTGTGGGTCTAAACTTCACATTGGATAGAAATAAGAAAGTTGAAGACAAGAAAAAAAACTTATAAATTCATTGTTTTAAGGTTTTTGTTGAAAATGGTGTCGTGGCTCATATTATGTTTATGTAATCTTTCCTTAGTGAAGGCTTAGGACCCTTATGTAACAGGGGGCTTAGGAAGGGCAATATGTTTGAGCATGCAGTGTACATTATACACGCAATCAAATCGTATCTTTCACACTAAGAAATTAAATTTTTCAGACACCAATAGCGGACCATTCTGCTACTATCTTCAATTTTAATAAGGGATATATACATACTCAAGTTTCTATTGCATAGTTGAGTAAGAATCATCCTCAATTTCCATACAATAATTGATAGCAAATATGGATGAAAATTAATGAATGATGTAAAATGTTCATTCAGTTATTTAACTAAAAGATGCAGCCCTGCATTTGTTTCGTTCCTAGCAAGAGATAATTAACAGAAAATGATATGATATCCCTGTCATGTTGCATGCTTTACTATTTTTGCAATTTATTAAATTGTGCATGGTATTTGCAGGTTGGACTAAAGATAAAGCTGTTTACAGGATCTCCACTAAAAGATGTGGCTTTAGAAGTAGCCATAGACCTACAGGCAACTTGGGTGATACTTGACAGGTCAGGCAAACTCTAACGGAAAATCTGAATTCACAACATGTTTTATATTTTTAAAGCAAGGGCATATGAAGTGGAATTGCATGTAGTAACATCATAGAAAAACATCAATAACTGCTTTAACTTATAAAATGACTAGGCAAATCAGCTGTAAAATAATTTTGGCTAAAATAACATTTTGGTTCCTTATCTACATTTCATGTTTCAGCTTAGTCCTTTAAGTGTAATTTTTTTCTTGCTTTAGACTCTTAAAAGTGTTTATGTTAGACCAAATTGATCCTCTTTGGTTCTAAGAGTGCCAAACATCTGACACAATTCATATGATGTAACATCTGACAAATATTCATATGATGTAACATCTGACACAATTTGTCACGTGTCACCAAGTTGACCAAACTAGTTTGAGGGATGGTCAATTTGGTCTAACAGATACATTCTGAGGGACCGAAATAAAACTTTTGGAATAAAAAGTGTAGATAAGAGAAGAAAATCATTTTCTGAAATAATTTTTCTAAACCACCTGATCTGAAGACCATCACAACATACTATCTGTTAAATCCGCTAACTAATGCAGCATAAAGTATATGCAAATCTTATCTTTCTACAGAATTGAACTCTAATATTGGGCATATTAAATTATTCAGCTCCCTTTTACAACTTCAAGTATGCTGTTTGTAGTATACAGAAAAAATTCAAATAAATTTTATACTTCAATTAAATGCATAATTTTAGTTAGAATCAATTTTAGGAAAAAGGCAGGAGAATAGAAGTTTAAACTATTGGTCAAGTATAGCAGTTGAAATCTTACTCTTCTCCTGGATAATGATTTAAGCTACCAGCTAAAGATCTCAAACATGTAGAAGACAATTTAACTCATCAGATAATTCAGCCAGTGTTAAAACTATAGTATTGAGTGGAGCTAAGAAGTATCAAGTAGACTTGCATATAAATCCATTTTGTGGTTCAGCATTCTGAAATCAGGATTCACGAGCTTGAAATAAATGTAAAATCTGTATAACTTGAAATAAAAATTTTCCAAACGCAGGCAAATATCAATAAAAACATCTTTGATTTCATCAATAATCTGAACAGAACCTCATATTAGTCTAAAAAGTATTCTTGGTTCACAGGAAAAGGAAGAAAGATGAGGAGTTTTTCCTGCAGAGGCTTTCTTGTGGTATATCTATATTAAAGAGTAACGATCGGATTCTTCGACTAAGAGGGCCTTTAAATGTTCCAGATGAAATACCATGTAACAGCCATGAGACATATGATGAAAGTTTACCAAGTGTTCCATATAAACATCTTTTTGACGACATTGATGCTTTCCCCAAGAGTGAGTTCTGGAATATTATTTGATTTTAGCCCACATAGTAATCATAACAGCTAGGCGTTTCTACTTTCAATTTTTAATGATTTAAATGTTCAATTAGGATCTTGTGGACTTGTTTCATTGCATGTTTCAGTATAATATTTTTGAACATCTTATTGCAACTAAGAACAATCTAATGATAGGACAACTTGAAGATGATGAACAGAACCAGATACATATTAGGCCCTGTTGCTCGAATAATAATATATATCCGACAAGTCCGAATCACCAGAGCATGGATGGAACAGAAATAAATAGCAATCAAATGATAGATAAAATAGAAAGAGCTGAGCAAGGTCACCATCATGAACAGATGCAAAGCATGTCTCTTGAGATGGTGGGGGACACAACAATTATGATTACAACTGATCAAGCAACTGCTCAGGAAATAGCTGATCAACCAAGCAAAGATGAAGAGAGGAGAAACAACTTCTTCCATGGTGAGAATTGGGACTGGAGCAATCCAGAAGAGAGTGAGGAAATGATTGATCAACCAATAGATCATTTGCCGAGTCAGAATCATGCACAGACATCGAGCATTTTCAGTGCTGCTACATTGGATGGTGGAGAGCAAGAGAAAAGTATTTTGGAAAATTCAATGTACAATATCTGCTCTGTCTGCAAAACTAGACGACCTAATATTTGGGGCCAAAAGGAATTTACTTATGAAGAACTCCTAGCAGCCACAGATGCATTTTCATTGAAGAACTGTCTCTCCAAAAGTGGATCTCTATTCACTTTCAGAGGCGAGATGGAGGGAGGGATGAAACTAGTGGTTAAGAAGCATGATGCCACTAACACTCAAGTAAGGGAGAAAGCGAAGTCAGAAATCCAAACCATCCTCAAAGCTAGACATAAAAATGTGATTATGCTCTTGGGCTCATCTACAGCAGAATCTTTCCTGTTTACTGTATATGAGTATGCTTGCAATGGTTCACTTGACAAGTATCTATCAAGTAAGACATGTGGTATATGCAGAATTTGATATATTAATAAAGGACAGTAGAATTTGATACATATGAAAAATGACACATAAAAAATCTTATGCTAAAGGAACTTGTTAAATTATGCAGAAGAAAGCTCCAGACCATTGATCTGGAAAGAAAGGAAACGAGTGGTAATAGGCCTTGCCCGAGGCCTCAAGTATCTACATGACAATAACATTGTTCATTGCAATATAAAACCAAGCAATATTCTTCTAACACATGACTTCAATCCACTGGTACATACGTGAAACTTGACAACCTTGTGGCAGTGCATTTCTCCTATCTGTCTAATTTCAATTATATTTGTTGGACATCTTCAGTTAATGTCAATTAGTTATAATTTTTTTGCCATTAGTGGAACTAACTTTTATTTTAAATGATACACATATTATTAGATTGGAGATTACAACTTTGGGAGAGAACAAGAATTGAAGTCCTACAAAAATAAAAACAGAGAGGATTATGAATACGTAGCACCAGAATTCCAGGAGAAAGGGAAGTTATCATCAAAGGCAGATGTATACTCTTTTGGTGTAGTTATTTTAGAGTTGATCGCAGGGCGAAGGACTACAGATTTCACGTCAGAACATAAAAGCCTTGTTGAATGGGTAAGACACAACATAATTTCCACATACAGCTAGCAAATTATAATGAATAGTGAGTTTTTGCTCACGAGTTCATGCATAGGCTGAGAATATACGAAGAAAAGGTTTAATATGTCTCAGTTTCTCTTTCTATACATTATTACGAATATATTTTATTTTCTTCTGAAGATACTTTGTGTCTGTTTGGAAAAGCTTGTCCATGAGTACTTCTAGAAGAAAACCGAGAAGGAAAAAGAAATGAACTTCTCCAAAAGTTAATCTGTAAAAACTGTCACATAACTTCTCTAAATTCTTATCTCTTAACTTATGCATAAGCTAATTCTCCATAAACTAACTTGTTGCTTATGACATCATACGCAGTTGATGTTTTCCTTTTTCCTTTCAGGCAAAGCCTCTACTTAAAAAGAAGAATTACTCAGAATTGGTGGATCCCATAATCAGAAACTCATACGAAGAGGATCACCTTCGTTGGATGGTCCAAGTAATAACAGAATGTTTGGAAAAGAATCCTAAGAAAAGGTCATCAATGAATATGGTAAGTTGCAACAAATTTTCTTATGCAAACTACAAAACCAAGTTCTGAATATCTATAATCCAGTATATAAAGCAAAACGCAGAATCCTCCTATAACTAGGGCAAGAGCGCTACTTAGTAAGAACAAAATATGCATTACTTTGCCAAAACTTGCTGGTCTTAGTAGCAAGGAGTTTGGTTCCTCTTTAAGTACGATCTCAAAAATCATCAAGAATGAGTATAATAAGAAGCTTACGCTTTCCTTTTATAAAGGGTCTTCTAGTTCAATTTGAATGAGTCAAAGCTCCTTGTGGCATACAAAATACTTAGGGTCAAAGACAACAGAAAAATGTACATTACTTTGAATTAAAATTGAGTAAAAGATATCAGTGACCAATATTGTTAAACTCTGGACTGCAATTCCAAGTCATTCAATGAGTAATGATCTAATCCCATGACAAATCATTTTTGACCCTTTAAGATGAAAAATCATCCTAAGAATACCCTGTGAATAAGAAATAGATTTTCAAGATAGATTTAAGATGTAGTAGCTTCAAGAAAATTTCCAAGTTCAAAGATAGACTGTACATTAAGAATCAATGGAAGGATAATACTCAAGTATGCATGATAAACATGCAAATAACAATGTGCACTAACCCTTAATTGATAACGAGGTCATTTTCGGTCTGAACCTAGAATATGTGTATCTACTAGACCATTATTAGAAGGGATGAGATTTACTTTTCATGACTTACTAGAGAATAAAACCTGATAAGAATAGGTACTCAGATTTGTAGTTATTGCTTGTAGATAAAAATGTTCAACTGTCTATTTTATTATTTCCTCACGTATACCATGACAACTTATATCGCTTCACTTGTGCAATTTCAGGTTGTTTCTGCATTACAAGGCATAGCAGACAGTGAACTCGACCACATGACAGACGATATTACTCCAGCTGTATCAGATTCGAGAAGTGTGCCAGAAATAAATGGTTCTCAAGGTAACAAATAAATCCAGAACAAGAAAAATTATAAATACAATGAGGAAAGCAGAAAATTGTAGAGGAGTTTATAGGTGATTTTATAGGAAATTCAATAAATTGAAAGTTTTAAAAGGGCTATTTCATAAGCTGGAAGAACATAACAGCCTCCAAATAAAGAGGGGTGGGAGAGGATACCCAATGTATATTAGTAATCTTTAGGTAAAAGAAAGTTTACGTATGGGAGGGAGGTTATAGGTTAGACCATGTAAAAAGAACCCTATTCTTGGTACGTACAAAAGACATAACAATGAAGGACCAAGGGTAGGGAACAAAGCAAAATCAGAGTCGCTACATTTGTTTTAGCATGGTCTACACAGTATCCCAAAACTGATAACCAAGGACTAAGTTGCTACAGTTTGATCCACGTAGTTGTGCCAACCTTCATTTGCATTGGTACGAAGTGTTTTGTTATTACTAAATAATGCATTAATTTATTGTAAATACTCAAGCACGTTTCGACATTTATATATTGCTTTCCGGGAGACTAGCAAAAATCTAGTGTAAGCATATTAGTAAGGCTCAATTATGTCAAGGAATGTTTATCTTGTATATTCTATATTAAAACCGAACCCTCTTAGATATACTTGTGGAGACACAATTTACATTGTGGGTTAAGATAATTCTTTGTTCTTTATTTCATTTTCTGGTGGTGACAGTTGTGTTTAAACTAAACAGATGTGGGTTCAACAAAAACTAAAGCTGATCAGAAAATTCAGAAAGTCGAGCAAATTGAGAGCATACGCGGTGGGGAAAAAAATAAGTTAAGACTAACAGTTGAGAATAATCTCTTTTACAAAGCAAACCAGGGAAACTCTGATAAACTCAGACATAATGAAGAACAGAAGCAAAGCAGGTCTCGAGGGGAGGATAGGAGCTCAGGAAAGTTGATAACGAATGACCACAGAATAGACGAGACAGAAGTTGGACTGCTGAATGAGTTTGAAAACCAGATTCCAAGGACACTCCATATGGAGAGCATCACAACACAAAAAATTAGTGTTGATGGCATAATGGGTAACACAAAAGTTGACCAACTGAGCCAAGATCAAGAAGGAAATAACTTTGCTAAAATGATGGAGGTAGGCTTAATTCCAGCAACTATCAGTGCAATGATAGATCAAACAGAAGTTGATCAGCCGGTCCATGATAAAACTCAAACACAGAGAAGCTTTCATGAGAACTTACAGGATGGATGTCAAGGTGAAATAGTTTTGGTGAATTCGAAGTCCTCTGCATGCTCTATTTGTAGAAGTAGACGACCAAACAATGCATGCTCAAAAGACTTTACTTATGATGAACTTCTAGAAGCTACAGAAGGATTTTCCACTGAGAACTCTCTATCTGTAAATGAAGATGGACCTACTTTCCAAGGCCTTCTAGAGGGACGGGTAAAAATTGTTGTTAAGAAATATCAAGTCAACACCTCCCAAGAACAGAAGATAATAAACTCAGAAGCAAAGCTGCTCATCAGTGCTAGACATAAAAATGTGGTCATGCTGTTGGGTTTATGTACAAATGAAAGCCAACTGATGGTTGTATTTGAGAAAGTATGCAACGGTTCACTTGACCAGTACCTAACAAGTAAGGACTAAGATGAGTTTTACATATCTTAAAATGAAGTTTAAGCATTTCATGCTTGGAATTGCACTAGAGAATTGAATTTGTATTTTACCTTTTGGTGAATAGAGAACTGAATTTGCTATTGACACGAAGATATATGGGAAAAAATTTAAATATTATGCAGGGGGAAGTTTCGAGTCATTGACTTGGAAGCAAAGGCTGAAAGTAATAATGGGTACTGCCAGAGGTTTAAAGTACCTACATGGGAAAGACATAATCCATGGAAATATAAAACCAAGTAATATTCTTCTAACACACGAGTTTGACCCAATGGTACTTACTTGAACCTGGGTGTATATGAAGCTTTTCTTTGTGTTTCTAAAGTTATAGTGCATTATAATTATGATCTTCAAACAAATTTCTATTTTTATGTGTATATATATATAAATATATATAGATTGGAGATTTCCACTTCGGACAACAGAAAGTTGGACCAAAGAAATCCAGAAAAGATAAAAGTGTAAGAAATTCTGGATATGCAGCACCTGAGTATCTGGAAAATGGAAAACTATCTTACAAGACAGATGTATATTCCTTTGGAGTGGTTCTTTTGGAGCTGATCAGTGGCCGGAGGGCTGCGGACAAATTACCAGATGGAAAAAGCCTAGTTAACTGGGTAAGAGAATCATGTTAATAAGTTGATACATCAGTATGCAAATTAGGGTCTATTTGAACAAAGTTTTCATACAGACTTCCAGAAGAGAAAAAATAAGGTAAAAAATAAGATGAGTCTCTCCTTATGTTAAAATTAGCTTAAGCACAAGAAATAAAAATATGGTTTAATGTCTCAATTGATCCCTATTTTTGTTCAGAATTTGAAATAGGTCCCTTTATTTTTTGGCGTCTCAATTGGGTCCTTATTTTTGTTAATTTGATGCAAATAAATCATTTCCCTCAATTTTAATCAAACGGCGTTAATGAATGTGTGACGTGGCCTGAGGACAGTATTGACACGTGTAAGGCCACGTCACACATTCATTAACGCCGTTTGATGAAATTGACGGAAATGATTTATTTACATCAAATTAACAAAAATAAGGACCCAATTGAGACGCCAAAAAATAAAGGGACCTATTTCAAATTTTGAACAAAAATAGGGACCTATTGAGACATTAAACCTAAAAATATAGATAAACTATTTGAGTGAGTTTCAACAACCTAATTTAACTTGTATATAAAAATACTCATTTCATTTTTTCTCATTATTTTTCTTCCTTAAAAGTCTTTGTGGAAAAGTTTGTCCATATATGCCCTTTATGTAGAATAAGCCTTAGAGCAATGGTAGGGTTGCTACCATGTGACCAAAAAGTTATGGCTTCAAATTTCGGAAAAAACCTTGCTGCTAAGGCTGCATATGTCTACCCTCCCCAGAACCCAATAGGTGGAAGAAAGCCTTTTGCAACGGCTCATCCTTCTTTTAACATGCAAATCAATAAGGTTTCTTTTTCCCAAATGCAGAAGTCAGGGGATACCTGAAAGAAATTTCCCTTCTCATTTCCCTTGTTTATAAGAAATTTTATCTGGGCATTATACTTTCTTGTGATATACTTATCAATATAACCTCTCTGATATGTCTCAGGCATACGTATCTTTTTACGACAAAAGATAAAAATCTTTTCTTGCAATTTATCCCTTAATTTTCCGAAGTTTCGACTCATTAAAACATGATATAGATATATCATTTGTTAAAGTAGCATTACATTCTGCAATGCCATGCAAATATACTGTGCAGAGGTCACTTTATTCGCAAAGTTTGTTTTACATCATGTGTGTGTTCATCAATGTTTCATTTTGAATAGGCCATTTGTTCTCACAAACCAAAAACTTCAGGCACTGAATGTTGTTGGAGTAAAAATTGCCTACAAGACTCATTATTTGGTTTGGGAGTTTAGCTGTTCGCATTCTAATTTTGTTGCTCTGTGCACCACACCAAATCCTTTCTTTGTGTTTGTGTTCCCTTCCAGGCCAGGCCCCTACTGACAGGAAAGAAGTACCACATTTTGTTGGATGGGAAAATCAGTAACTCTTGTGAAGAAGAAAAGCTAGTATGGTTGGTCCAAGTAACAGAACAATGTCTCAAAAAGAATCCTAATGATAGATATTCGATGAATGTGGTAAGTCCAAGTGATGCAGAATATGTCAATGTGAACAATTGATAGTTACTAGGTAAATAACAATCTATATAGAGTGAAACTATATATGTCAAAGAACTGCAGGACACGTAAAGCATATATCAGAAAAGATGGATTTTGTCAATGGGAAGAAAACTAGCCATCCTAATGGCTTAATCTTTCAGATGAGGTCTCTAAATAAATTTATATCCTAATGATCATAAAGGCTTTTTGAACTTGAAACATACATAAAGCACAAGCACAACTTAGACATGAAAGTTTTGACACTACACCGATTGCCAACTCTCAGAAGTTTAGGCTATTAATTTTGGAATGATTTTATTTGTTTGCACTAATTATGACATGCTTTCTCTCAATGAAAGCACGTGGAGCTTGATAAATTGTAAATTATTGTATACTGAAAATTTAATTATATAACGTATGGTAGCTGGATTTAACTATATATCTAAGAGGCTAAATTGAAATGCTAGAGCCCAAAAGTGATTATATAGAAGTTCAACAAGGAAACATTGAAGTTCAACATAAGGACAAAGCCGAGATAAAAGAGCTCCACAAATAATGTATCGAAGAAGTTGTTTCACAGCAATACACATTTTTATGTCTTGTATGGTTTCACGTGAAAGATTCATTCAACCCTTGAATATGAAGCTCTTTGATACACCAGAGCTAAAGGAAACCATACTCAGAATTTCTAGGATAATGACATTAAAATTTAAAACCAAGATAACAATGTGAAAAGGTATCTACTTTTTTATTTATTTACATTAAAGAACATGTATACAATTCACATTTTAATTAAGGAAAACAAAGAATAATAGTAAATAAACCAGTCATGACATGTTCACAATGCCATTAAATATAGAAAAGAATAGTGTTATGAACAATTTATAAAACACGTTGTTAACAGCTTATCATTTGAAACTTACACAAGTTTTCTTTGGGCTATTTCAGGTCCTATCTTCCTTACAAGACATAGAAGAATCAACTGAGTGTTGTGTAATTCAAGATTCTTCTCCAGAAAAGTCATATTCAAATGGTCTCCCCACGAGTAGTACACAAGGTAATTTAGGAAAACTACAAGAGTGTAAGATATATAGTAGACAAAGTAGAAAGCAAGACATATGGGTAAAATTATTGATTTTACATGATTAAGAATTGAAGACGTTAAAATAACAACCCCATAAGTGAAAAATTTAATATCCATGTAGACTAAGCTGAAATGGTAACAGGTTCTCCTGGTTAAGTGGAAGTCTTCAGCTTGCCATAATTGTCCCAAAAGTGAGTAACAGGGATAAAAAGAATCATATGTTCAATTCAGTTAACCTTGAGTCATTTTTTCTGAATACTATTTTATTTAAAAACACGCCAAATCAATTCATACATAGAATACTAGTTTCTGGTATCTTTGTTTCTTTAACTTTTTAAGTCAAGGAGTCTCAATAACAATAACCGAATGATAGGTCAAATGAAGGCCGATCTAGGGAAGAAACAGGAACAAGAATTGATCCACAGAAACCAATACAAGGAAGAAAGCAGTCCAAGATTGACAGTCAAAACCAATCACATGAAAGGTCATAGAAATGAAGATCAAATGATACAGGGGGAAGAAGATGTGCAGAGGAGTCCTTATGAGGAGATGTTCGGGGTAAGACCTATCAGCAATGGCATGATTGATCAGATAAACCCTGTACAACAATTCCAGGAAAAACTGCACATTAAGGGAAGCTTTGAGATAGAAGAAATGAGTAAAAATGTAGATAAACAACAAAAGGTGAGCAAGGATAAAAAACAAATACAGGGAAGCTGTGATGATAGTTTATTGAATGGGATTGAAGGCAAAATCATTTTGGGAAATTCAAAGTCTTATGCTTGCTCTATCTGCAAAAGTAGGCGACCAAACAGTAGATTGCAAAGGAAATATACTTATGAAGAGCTTCAAGCTTGTACAGAAGGATTTTCAGTTAAGTACTCTCTATGTGAAGGTGAATATGGACCTGCTTTCAGAGGCCAGCTAGAGAATAACCAGGAAATAGTGATTAAGCAACATGCGTTCACAAACTTACAGGAGCAGAAGGTGTTCATGTCAGAATTCCAATTGCTTATAAATGCCAGACATGAAAACGTGATAATGCTGTTGGGTTCATGCATACGATTAAGTCAATTGCTGATTGTATATGAGAAGGCATGCAACGGTTCTCTTGACCTGTACTTATCAAGTAAGGATAAAAATATGAATGTTAAATTTATAAGAAAGTTATTTTCAATGAGGTTTGAGTACTATTTACACAGACTTGGTTAAAGTATGTTCATACCAGAGGAACGTTCTGAATCATGCAGGAGAAAGTGGTAGAACACTGACTTGGGGAGAAAGGGTGAAAGTTGCAATAGGTGTCGCCAGAGGTCTAAACTATCTACATGAGAATAATATAGCACATGGAGGAATAAAACCAAGTAACATTCTTCTAAATCATGAGTTGAAACCACTGGTACTTACTTTTAACCTTAATGCCGTGGAGCAACACGTATATTTATTTTTTTATAAGCCAAGTTTCAATATGAGTAAGCTAATCTGCTATCTTAACAAACTAACCATTTGCTGAATTAGGTAGGAGACTTTGCGTTTGGAAAAGAAAGATGTGAACTGAAAAATCTCAAAAGACTTAAAAGAATGAGGAATTGTGGACGAACTGCACCAGAGTGTTGTGAGAGTGGAATACTATCGACTAAGGCAGATGTATACTCTTTTGGTATAGTTCTTGTGGAGTTGATCACTGGCCGTATGATTTCAGAAAAAGTATCAGGAGAGAGATGTCCCACTGAATGTGTAAGAGCCACATGATTTGATTTCTATAAACTATATGGTACTTCAATTGATTAGGATTATTTGAGAGCAACAATATGTTTCACATTTCTTTATTATAGTCCAACCATATATGAGAACAGTTTGTGTTACTGTTCTTATCGTACACATTTCATCTATCAACATTCCTGAGAATTCTGCAATATCCATTCATTATGTACTTCACAGTTTACAGAGATAAAGTCATTTTTTACAACACATAGATCCCACAGCAGTGAGCCTTTATACGTGTAGTAACTTAAACATATTCATCACATTTTCTACCAATAGCAAATTCAGGTGTTGAAAATTGATAGTAGATTTGTTGGAGGAGCATGTCTAACATTGTTTTCTGAATCTTGTGGTCCTCGTAATCATTTCTTGCTTTAGGAGTTTTCTTATAACCTTTAGAATCTACTTGTAAACCTATTCCACAACCTATTTTATCTTACTACTGAGTTGTGCATTGTTAGGCTTCAACAATTTCCATTAAATTGAAGTCACAAGTGCTAATGATAAGAAACTGAGCATTTTATCTTAACATTTTTTTTCCATTTATATAACTAGACTGTCATGCTGTATTGATTTCATTCCTTATGCGCATTGCACAAAATTCTCAGATAAGGTCACTTCTTGAAGAACAAAAGTTTCTACAGTTGGTAGATCCCAAAGTCAGCAGCTCCTATGATGAGCAAGAACTAGTTTCATTGGTCCACGTGATAGAAAATTGTCTGAAAAAGAATCCAGAAGAAAGGTTTACAATGGATATGGTAAGATTTAAACAGGAAATATGCAAGTTGAAGAGTTAAATTTGTAAGTTGTACAAGTTATTTCATGCTTGAGTGTCAGAAACATACTTTCTGATACACATTTTATAAGAATCTTTTTTTTATTATGGGTTAAAATTCGTAGAAAACTATAAAATCAGGATGGAGAGTCACCAAATAAGATGAAGATAAGGGTTTAATTTTGTCATATCCAAAAAATTTCAACTTAAAAGCGATAGTGTGTTCAAAACATTTCTCATAATTCAATGAGATTGGTGATAGGTTAATAAATCACCAAAACGATTTGTCTGTGTTAAATTTGATGGAAGGCAGATCAGTTGTCGATAGTAGACCAAATCTTCAGAGCAAGTTATGGTAGTGTTCTAGGACAATGAAAAAATCAATATTTGTCTTCAGATTCAGCTGAGAAAAGTTACTTCTAAACTATGAGAAGAATGTGAAGTCAGTAATAACCTTTCACTCTGACAAGAATGTATAAGATTAAGTCAATTGCTGATTGAATATCTGTTATCTAAGCTTGATATTTTACATTGGTTAATACTCACTTCTATATTTTTTTCTTTTTCATTACATTGCTTATTTTCCCTCTCTTCCTTATTTACTTTTTTTGTCCTCTCATAAGTGTGAGAGAATAATTTTGTTAATAATATGTTGATTATGCTTCATTTGATTGATATAATTAACTTGTAAAATTGCAGGTTGTCTCTGCACTGCCATCTATAGTAGATTGCAGTGACATATATGCAAAGGAAGACTTTTCACCAGAAAACTCGCATGTTTCAGAAGTAACAAACTCAAAAGTGAAGGAGGAACCACCAAATGAAGAAGATTTAAGCATAGAGAATAGTGAAGAAAAAGGGGACAACATAACGTACATTGGAGGCAATGAAACAGAAATACGTCAAGAGTGTGACATCAACCCAACTGGTTGTGAAAATAGTAAGGAAACAGAAGAAAAAGAAAGCTTAAGCACCAAGATATGTTGGGAAGGTTGTTCATCCTATGGTGGAGCTAGAGAATTTTATCTCGAAGGGATCAAAGAGTACACAGCATGTGAAGAACTTTTCGGCTTTTGTGATTTAATTTGAGTATTTCTTTCAACATTATATGCATCATTTGCACATTTCTTTTGTAACAATATATGGAATAACAAACAAAAGCATTGAGATTTATACACCAACGTTTGTCTAAGAAAAGGTACCGTGACATATAACTTGTTAAGTCAACGATTATTTCTTTGCATAAAACTTAGATTAAGCAGACTATTTTCATGTAACATTTATACATGAAAAAGAAAAAGACTGTATAGTAACAGTGTAAAACAGACTTATATTGCTATCTAATCCCAAATCAGTATGTATATTTTTTTCCTTAAACTTTTCTAATAATTTTATTAGAAGTTATGTATATAACTGTGATATGTGATTGGATAGCAGCGTAAAACTGTTATACATTAAACTCTACTGGGATTATTGCACTACAGTCATCACTTATCTGGTTCCCTCGTTTGGGAAAAGAAAAAACTGTAAATAAGGTTCCAAAGTATGCCACTTCAAAAATAGATTGGGTGATTAATTTTAACTAGATCAATTAGATTTAGATTTTTTTTTCAATCCAATTTAAATTGGATTCAATTTAGACTGATTCCTCTTTGTCAATTATATTAAATTCAATGAAATTGGGCTTGGACCAAATTGACTCCACTTGGGCTCAATCCTAGTCGGTTTGATCTATCTTGGGCTGACTTGGCTTATCTTAGGCTCGGTCTAACTCAGGTCAATCTAGGCTCAGGCCTAATTGGCTCAGGCCTAATTGGCTCGACCATGACTTGAGTTGACTCGTGTCGACTTGAATCTAGGACGTCCTTCAGCAGGCTAAAGCTTACTTGAGTCAACTTAAGCCCTAGATCGACTCAACTCGACTTGGGTCCGTGCCAACTTAAGTTGATTAACTTGGGATAGACAGACTTAACTCGATCTTTAGAATGGACCGACTCAATTCGATCTTCAATCTTGACCAATTCGGCTAACTTTTGACTCATGTCGACCTAATTTGACTCTTCGACCCGAACTGACTTGACAAGTGGTTTGACAATTTGGATCATTTAGATCTAGGTGTCAATAATTATATTAGGAAGAAGAAGGATGGTGGAAGGGTGGTGGAGAAGAGAGGGGAGAAAGGGAAGGTGGATGGTGAGAGAAAAGGAACACCGATCCAAACCCCGAGAAACTAGTATGTGGACTTTGTGGTGTTCCCTTTCTTTTTGGCCCTTTTACCAAGGAAGGTGGAGGTCGCAAGAAGGCCCATCAAAAAAGAAAAACACATAATAACTTAACATCGAGTATGATCTCCATGCATGGGTACTATGTCTCGTAAATGGTGGATAATGTAATATCCAATGTAATCGGTATTAACACTACTATAAGAATTATTTTTTATTATCGAATAAGCAACCAACGAATATCAATTACTAAAAATGACATATCAAATGGTTATTCGACTATTTCTATCTCCAACGTTACGTAATCTTGACTATACTCAAAATAGCAGTACAGTTTTTCCCGAATTGTTTGATGACTACTAGGAAGTTTGAATATGGTGTAAGCACTAATCAAGCTGCATTTGGCTACTAGTTTTACCCGACATTTTTTCAATTGTCGCATATGATATAGTGTCAAGACTTTGTCCTTATTCCGTATTTGTTCTCTATAATATTTCTTCCTATGATCTAGACCCGTTTTTCTATTATTCTCTTATATATTATACCATACTTGTGAGTTTCCTCCGCACTCTGTATATGTTCTAGTCATTGATTCTCACACTATGCTATTCTAAGGGTGTAAGTGGGTGTATTGTTCTTGGACAAGATGCCGTTACCGATGTTTGTGACTATTCCGCACTGTCGCATATACTGGCAAGGTATAAAGGTGGAGGATTTTGACTTCGGTTCAAACGATCCCGGTAATATGTAAAGGTTTCTGCTTTGGTTCCCGTGCACCTGAGGTAATAACATGGGCTTATGGCAGTGGTTCAGGCTAGAACCGATGCCAAAGCCTCTTTTTTTTGGAAATAAATTAACTTATAATTCCAAAATATTTAATTTTAATTAATTTAACTTTCAATTAATTTAAAATGTCGTTAAAATTATATTATTTTCCTTTTCAAAACCAGCTAACTGTTATTTCCAATTATACTGTTAATAAATTTTATTTTCAATTTTCTTTTTAACTAAATTTTATTTCTAAGCCTTCATTGGCCAACGTCGGTCATCGTGACCCCATGGCAGCACACACCAGCACTTTCATTGGTGCCACCCATGCTTCAACCACACAGCCACCGGGGAACCTCAGATCCACGAATAAAAGAACTCAAACGCACAATCAAAACCACCCCCAAACCTGAAAACATCCAACACACCCCGCGTTGCTAATGTGCGAC